TGTTCTGATGCTGAGCAGGAGTGCTGTTTCCATGGCAACACACAGACTAGTGGGGGGGAAGCTGATGCTGATGCCTTTTCCCCGATTCTGAGAGTTTGTGTATCCAAACACTCTTACTCTTAGCAAGGTTCTCTTAAAAATCAGTGTTTGTAGGAGAGAAGGAAATAATGTTGGTGAAAATGGTCAGTATATATTGAGGTGCTTTCTTGGGGTGGTTTATTTCTGCTTTCATCGTGAAGATTTGTTAGTGCAACACCCAGCTTTTTGCTAACGCTAGAAAAATGTACTAATGATAGCAGCAGTGATCTCGGACATGTTAAAGGCGGGGTGTTCTAACGTTTGGTGATGCTGCAAATGCAGTTGGGCATTTGCTTTAACCTTTTAATGAAAGGTGCCTTTCTTTGGGAGGCTATATTATTAAATATCGTTGGCATTTCCCTGGGGGCAAGTTCTGAATAAGCAAAGGGTAAATAGTCACTATTCCAGAGCTAACAAAGCTTTGCAATTAATTCTAAATTTTTTAGAAATGGCAGGCTTTAGGGCAGGTAATATGCTAACTTGGTCTTTCATTACAGTAGTGCAGCTGTGTCCCAGCCTCGCCCATTTTATTTATTTTAGGAACCATATGCTCATATGTTTTCCATCTTCAAGCTTATAGATAAATCCTTCTTTTCTAGGTGGATTGAGAAAGTGTTCTATTCTATTGTTGGAATATGTTGGGATTTTATTTTTTATTTTTTATTGAGAATTTTATTTGGCCACTAGAGATGAATTTCTTTCGTGATTAAAAACACACAAACCTGAAATGATAGGGAAGGGGAGTGCAAACCCCAGAGTGCTGTCTGCCTGCCTTAATTTTTTTGCTGAAGGCTTGGAATAGTAGCAAATACAGTGTGTGGGAATGAATTTATTTGCATGGAGAATTTTCACCTTTTCCTCTGCCGGTGGCTCCCAGCAGATGATGTCACCTTGCAGCCCATTGGTTGTGCGGCACCTAGTGCGGGGAAGGGAGAGGAAGATGCCGGCACAAATCTCAGCGGTGGATCTAGGGTGTTCACCATCAGTTTTTGATAGAATCTTTGATTAGGATGGAGAATTGACTGCGTGTGGCCATGTGATGTGCTGGGTCTGTCCTAGGGTGAGGGGATTGAAGAGCTTTCAGAGGAATGAGGCGGCTGATCTGCAAGAGGATCTGTGATTGTAAGTTGAAAAAATCTGGGTGGAAGGAAAGGGACAGGGAGTGCTGGTTAGACACATTGTGGGAGGATGTGTAGCAGAAAATGCATGCATGAGTAAAAGAAGAAAAGGGAGAAGCGTTTGTCTTTGGTAGACCAGAGTGATGAAAAATTATATTAAGGGCTTTCCTTTGGGGAAGATATTTAGAAATGGGCAAAAATATTCAGTCTGTGCAAAGATATTTTCCCTCTGTGGGAATGAATATGGAGGATTCATTCTTATGCTCGGTTTTACAGTGGTTAGTTATGAAAGCAAAATAATATTTTATAAGAACTTAAGATGTAAAAAATGTTGTTCACTTCTCATTGTTATTTTATTCCTAGGTCAGAGACAGAGGATGAAGTGATAAATGTTTATTTTTATTTGTGCATTTTGTGAATTTCTGTGAAATGTGAAGCAAAATAATTGATCAAGAAATAAATATACATCCATTCTAATAGTTGTATTTTTATTTAATGGATCCTTTTCTAGACAAAAGCTTTGATGATGAAGAGTCGGTGGATGGAAATAGGCCATCATCAGCTGGTTCAGCCTTCAAGGTTCCAGCACCTAAAAAACCAGGAAATCCTTCAAACAGTGCAAGAAAGCCAGGATCAGCTGGTGGGCCTAAGGTTGGAGGTAATGTAAAGCTATTCAGATTGTAATCAGTGTTTCCAGAAGCCTTGCCAGAGCAGGCACAAAACAGACAACTTTGGAAGGTGATGTTTAATTCATGACTGCAGTATTTTTGCAGAGCTTAAAATAGTAAGGGACCCTGTTTTACGTAATTATTCATGTGTAAAGCTGTGTGCATCCCTGTCTGTTTTTGTGAATGTACAGTTAGCTTATAAAGGCCTCTCATGGTATAAACAGAATTAACATCTGGAGATAAATTTGTGTTGGTGAAATGAGTATATGGGGGTGTCTGATGGAATCCACACCTCACTTACTGTATATGTAAATATACTGTGAAATTCTGTACTAAGTCTGTGTAGATGACATTCTTACTGTAGGTCTGCACTGTTTTACATGGCTAGAAAATACTAGCCATCAACCCTGTGCGTCCACAAAAGTGTATATTACCTCTGAATGACTTTCATTATTAGCCCTTAAACTGTATTGTGAAACTGATTGTGAAAGATAAAGAATGAGGGCCAAAACCTTTTCCAGGATTTTTTGCATGGTAGACTTCAAAGCAGTATAACAATGATGCATACTAATTATAATCTTTGAACGTGGAAAACCGCATTTTTTTAGGGTGGAGGTAATCTAACAAAAGCAACTGTTTATTGCTAAAGAAGTGACAGCTTTTTTGGTGGTTCATGTACACATTCAGAAAAATATATCATTAAGTGGAAATGTGTTATGCTTCAGGTATGATTGGTTTATGAATAATTGATTGTTTCAGTAAGGGATTTTTGTAAGAGTAAATTTTTCATGTTTCTATTCGTGTAACATTCCCTTATGTGAACTGCAAAGCAAAGATAAAATGTGAAAGAAGGTACACATGCCAAACAAGCTGCCTTATGTATTTTCATGTTAATGAGATATAATTAATGTTTTTACAATTTATTTTCTCATGTGATCATCAGAATTCCTAATAAATTGAAAAGATCCCCATAGGTTAGGATCAACAATGCCATCGTATAACTCATACTTGATAGCAGTACGAATCAGAAAGTGCCACCTGAAAGACTGCATAAGGGAAGTTATCCCTTGAAGTTGACTCTTAGTGTTTATTATTATTACACAAATTAATAGTAATAATATAATTTCCTTTAACTTGAAGTGTGGGGTTTTTTGTGTGTGAGACTAACAGATATAATACCAGAAATGAATGCCCAGGGTTCCTGTTTCTTTCAGTATGCGCTTCTTTTAATAGTATTTTATTAAATATAGATGTTTTTAATGTAAAATTATTTTTTCATATGGACTTCCACAAGCTCTGCAGTAAAAACGTGGAGATTGGAGAGCAGGTGAAGGGAAATAAGAACAGAATAATAACTGATTTTTCAGCTTATCTAAAAATTCAGTAGTTAAGGAAATAACTGAAAAAACCCCAAAAAAGATAAAAACCACAAAAAATATTCTGTTGGTGTTCCTCCTTTTCCTATGTTGCCAAACTTCAAAAAATAAAAATGAGAAAAAATACATAGAGTAAGGACAAAATCTAAACATACCAAAACCAGATATGCAAAAAGAGATTTTTCACTGTTGAACGCTTTCAGTTTAGTGCAGGAGATGCACTTAAGTGGCACTGGAAATGCAAAATCATTGTCCAGGAAGGCAGGTGAAATACCTATGCACATTATCAATAGCAGTGTCCTACTCAGGATGAATTCTCCCTCCTTGTGCTGAGAATGTTTGTGCAAGATTTTTTTTCCAGCTAGGGCTGAGAAAGCTTGTAGAACTTGCGTGTTTGCTGAACAGATGTGAAGAAGTCTGTAGAAGACAGCTTGCCAGAAAAGTATCAGAGCAGGCAGCCTTGGCAAGGTGCTGCCCTGAGAGCAGGAAATCCAGCAGTCTGCTTCTCTGTCTGACTTTACTGCCGGGAGGCATTCAGACACTGATGTGCTTGCTTGTGATGAATGAGGAGTGATGGGTCTTCAGCTTAATGGGGCAGTGCCTTGTTTGGCATATTTCTTATTCCATGGTCAATACACTTTCGTGGAGTTAGACTTTTGCCAGGAAATGCACAGCTTACTTCTGACACACTTGTGTCCAGCTCTTCCTTTGAGTGGCGGAGCCTCTGGAAATGCCCCCTTGCTCTGAGGTCTTCCTTCTGAGAGTGTTCACCATGTGTGTTCTGCCCTTCTGGAAACAGATACTCATGGGCTCTCTCTTGGCAGCATGGCAGGCAGCTTTTTGGTTGTAAGGGACACTATAATTTACAGCAGAAGAAGACTTCAAATTGAGTATGTTAGCCAAATGAGGTATATTCTTGTCCCTGTGCTGTTCAAGACCTTTTATAGGGCTTTGGCAGGTTCTCTTGCAAATGTCAGCTCTCTGTTCCAAATCTTCTAGGAAACTGTTCGCTTCTACTCAGAAGCTTTACATGATCTAGATTTTAGTAGGAGACCTCAGTCCATACCTCACCAAGACAAGCTTCTTTTCCTAAAATGTCAATTTAGGTCGGTAGTTTTTAAAAGGGATTAAGTGTAGGCATGGTGGTACTTCATAGAGCCTTGGTGTGTTTGGAAGAAAAGCTTGCTGGTGAAGCCCAGTCATGACAGAAGTTTGTGTTAACTTTCTGTTATACGTTTTATGAGAACCTCTGTAGGGCTGGAACATCATTCTTAATGTTGTAATTTCAAGCAAGGTGGACTTTCTACTTTTTGCAGTTGTTTTGAGTGGGAAGATTCTGCATCAGGTATTTTACCTATGGTTCATTGGCTTTTTTTAATCCATAGTGTATTGGCCTGCTGGTGTTGTTATGCGTTGCTTACTATTTAACACTAACAAGGTTGTTACACTTTTTTGAAGCAACCTATGTTGCTTTAGGATGAATCATCCAGTGACAAACCAGCAAAGAGGATGTTATTACTTTAAATGTCAGAATTATTGTAACTGCTGTTAAAAAAATATATTTTGGAGTAAGGATGTTTTTGATGCCAAGAATGAAGAAAATGAAGTAAAACCCCAAAGTTTTTTTTTTCTATTAAAAAAACCTGTGTATGCAAAACCCCTTTTTTTCCCCCAACATAAAAATTATGATGTTGCCTTCTGTCCAAAGGATCTGGCCCTCAGTGAAGACTGCAACTGGGCCAGTTTGAGGTTTGATGCTGGCATTATTTGAAGTAACCCTCAGTTTTAGGATGGTCTTAATTCTTAAAATTAAAAAGAAGCCTTCTAAAGTTTAATGGTTGCTCAAAAAACATTTAAAATATTACCTTTTAGGTAGAAATCAAGGAACTGGAAAATTTGGGTGAACCAGGTGATCAGGTTTGGCAAAAGAAGGCTGTGAGAACTGTGACAACACTGTACATGTTTTTCTTAACTACAGGAACACATTCTCAACTACAAGAAGCTGTTCCCAACTTGAGAAAATTTACGTTTAATTTCCGTATCTATCTACAGTGTGTTTTATCAGCATCATAATGCTTTTTTTTTTCCTTCTCAATAACAGTAATACAGCTCTTTTTTGAGCAGTAATAAAACAGTACTGGTTTGCTTCATTTTGCTCAATTTCTTATCAGAAGAAATTTTGACGTGTTTGGAGGCTTTAGTAGGAGAGTTTAAATAGAAAGGCTCTGCATAAAGCAAATGTGTTTCTGAAAAGCAGGTACTTGCCTTCTGATGTCTTAGCCAGATGAAGTTAACATCATTAAAACTACATGCCATAGTTTTTAGTTTGGTTTTGGTTTGTGGGTTTGGGGTTTGTTTGTTTTTTTTTAAAGGGGCTTCAATAATTGTGTAACTGTAAATACAAGATGTTGGTGACTGGACTTGAAACAGGGTAAACTCCTTGCTTGCTCTGTCAATTGTCTTCAGACTCATGAAGACATTTCTGTGATTACTTGCACAAAAAAAGCTTAATAGTAATCAATGCCCAAGTTTTTCTTTTAACTTTTGAGTTCTGCAGAAAATAAGTTCCTGAGTCTTTCCTCTATTTGTTTAGCCCTCATTAAGTGATTTCCAAAGTGCTGTATTTGTCATGTAAAATAAACTAGGATTTCCTTTTCATTGTTCTGTATTGGCCCTTTGTATGACATAAAACTGCTCTGAACTAGTCTTGGCCAGCAAAGCATCCCTGACATTCTGTGGCATTTGCTTCCCTTTGTGGCTTCCAGGCTGTTGTGAAATGCAAAAATTTTTCGGCAAGATCCCAGCAGAAATCAGCCTTTTTGTCCTTCTGAGCACCCTTTGAGATCAGCCTTGGGTATCAGAGTCTAAATGAGAGGATTTGTTACAAAATGCCTCTTTGCTTCCTTGTCCCCAAGGTGAATGTCGCTTAACTTCCTTCCTGAGAGCTCCTTGCCCGTAGAATTGCTGGGTTACAATCCTGCAGTTGTGAACTGCTGCCGTTTGAGCCTAGAGCCCAGAATTCAGGGAAGTAAGAGGACTTCCAGCTTTCCAGGTTCTCCTAGAGTTGTTCGGTTTTGTTGTTTTTATTTACTCCCTTGAACGGCACTTCAGGAGGTTTCCTTGCACGTGATCAGTGGTCTGTTCTCCTTAGCTGTCCAGTCACTGAGGTTTCCATTCCTTTAACAGATGCTTTGCTTTGCAGCTAGCCTCAGCAGGTGGATCGGAAAATCAGCCTTAGTGAGGAAACTGAAGTGAAAATAAATGAACATTAGAAATTGTTAAATATATATGTGTACACACACCTATACCTATACCTTCATAAAATATATAAATATATAACACTACTGTTCATTAGTATCCTTTGTTGTGTCACCCCAGGACAGCTGACAGATAGTTCATACTACTTCAGTTTGCTTTGCACTTGTTTCTAGAAGCTTCAGTTAGATTGTGGGATTTATTATGCTGGCATAAGCACAAGATTGTATCTGATAGTCTTCTTTCAAAATCTTGTAGCCTAGAAGGCAGCTCACAAATGGATACAATAGGAAGAGCAGTAATTAAGAGGTCTGGAGAGAAGAGCTCACCGCACTGTTACCCTCTTTTGACATCTCTGC